TGCCAAACAGCTACCTCGTGAACTCTGAAGTCTGTCGGGAGCTCTCAACTCACGCTAGCAGAATCAGCAACGCCTGAATCTGCACAAGGGGTGTAGGGAGTAAAGTGAGTACTCCAACTCAGTAAGTAATAATCATAAATAAAAACTGAAAGCAAGAAATCACGTAAGGCACATTACATGCTATAATGAAGCAGTAAAAACCAGTAAAATAGTGAATCGGTAAAGACATGTAAAAATCATTTCCGTTCAGTTTAAACTTCATTAAAGGCCTTTTTAACAATTAAGCAGGTAAATGACGGGCAGTAAGGAAGATAAACACATAAAGGTTCGCCCATCGGGCACAATGTCAACAAATTTGCCCCTCGGGCAATATCTCAGAACAATACCAGCTCCTCGGGCTATATCTCATATCACAATAGGTATCCGCTCTCACTGGGGGTGTGCAGACTCCTGGAGGGGCCCCTTACGACCCAAGCACAATATCAAGCCATCTCGTGGAATCATCACTAGGCTCTCGGCCTCATATCAACAAGCCACCTCGTGGCGTATATATCTTAGGCCCTCGGCCTCATAATCATAATCAGTGTTTCCTCACAACATAGGCCCTCGGCCTTACTAAGTCAAAATCCTCACAAGCCACTCGAGCAATAGTAAAACATGATTCTCAGCCCAAAATATCAATTAAAAGATCATTTAAGTGTTGAAACAGAGTAAACATGGCTGAGTTATGAAAATAGTGGAATATAGCATGACTGAGTTCAAGTATAAAGTCAAAACAGTGAGGAAATATCAATAAAAATCCCATAAGGGTTCAAATAGTTGGCACAAGGCCCAAATATGGCATTCAGCCCAAAACATGATGATAGCAAATAGATTTTAGTCAAATGCGTGGTAAAATAGTTATTCGGGACGGACTAAGTCACAATCCCCATCAGTGCACGACCCCACGCTCGTCATCAAGCGTGTGCGTCACCTTAATATAGAACAACAATATGCAATCCAGGGTTTCATATCCTCAGGACATCATTTACAATCATTACTCACCCCAATCCGGTCCAAACTCTAACCCGCGATGCCTTTGCCCCTCGAATCGGCCTCCACTCGTATCAAATCTATCCAAAATCATAACCACGACATTAAAATATGCTAAAGGAACGGAGCCCAAGCGAAAATAATCAATTTGCAATACAAATCCCGAAATTACCAAAACCCGACCCCTGGGCCCACATCTCGGATTCCGATAAAATTCACATCAATGGATTCCTTATCACTCCCCGAGTTCATACATACTAAAAGCATAAAAATTCAACCACAAACGATCCCTCAAATTCAAATTTCTAGGTCTCCAATTTCAAGCCCTAGTTCTTAAATTTTAGGCTTAAATTCTATGATTAATTAGGTAGATTTCACATTAGAATCGAGTTTTAAGTCCATGAATCTTACCTCCAAGTGATTCCCCTTGAAACCCTCTTCAATCCTCTTCAAAAAGCTCCAAAAATGCTCAACAATGGTGAAAATAAACCCAAAATCGCGGACAAGATGACTATTTAAACATTCTGCCCAGGCCTAAATTCCTTCTTCGCGAACGCGGTCAATGCCTCGCGTTCGCGAAACACAATCCAACTTTGACCAAAAAATTACTCTTCACAATCGCGATATTCCCATCGCGAATGCAATGCTTCCTCAGACTAACCCTTCGCGATCGCGTTACCTCTCTCGTGAACGCGATGAATAAAATACCCTGAAGCTTAGCTGCCCAATTCCTCTACGTGAACGCGGTCCCCTTCATGCGAATGGGATGACCAAACACTCAGCCCTTCGCGAACGCGGAGTTTTCCTCGCGAATGCGGAGTTTTCCTCGCGAATGCAAAAGCTTAAATCTCAGCCTTCACCAAATGACCCTTCGTGAACGCGAGGACCCACTCGCGAACGCGAACGTCTAAATCCTCTGCAACACATAACAGTTTTCTGCAATTCCAAACATCATGAAATGGTCCGATTGACTACCCGAAACTCACCCGAGGCCCTCGGGACCTTAACAAAATATACCAACATATCCCATAACCTCATTCAAACTTGTTCCAACCTTCTAAACGTTCAAAACCACATCAAAACATCAAATTCGCATTGGATTCAAGCCTAAGAATTCCAAAATCTTCTAAATTACGCTTTTGATAAAAAATCCAACCAAACCACGTCCGAATGACCTGAAATTTTGCATACACATCCCAAATGACACAACGGAACTACTGCAACTCTTGGAATTCCATTCTGACCCCTATATCAAAATCTTACCTATTAACCGGAAATCGCCAAAAATCCAATTTCGCCAATTCAAGCCTAAATCTACTCCGAACCTCCAAAACTCATTCTGATCATGATCCTAAGTCCCAAATCACCTCCCAAAGCTATCTGAACCATCGGAACTTAGATCTGATCCCTCTAACACATAAGTCAATATCTGGTTGACTTTTCCAACTTAAGCTTCCTCAAAAGAGACTAAGTGTCTCAAACCTTACCAAATCCTTTCTGAACCCGAGCCAACCAACCTGATCACATATAGAACCGATAGACAAAGTAATAAGAAACAAAAATGGAGGAAACGGAGCGGTAACTCATGAGATGACTGGCCGGATCGTCATATCAAGTATGGCACCTCTGCCTACCCAAGCCTCTTACAACCTTTGCCTATACCTGCTACACCTTGGACAGACATTAATATGGACTTCATAGAAGGTTTACCTAAATCTATAGGTAATACTGTCATTTGGGTAATTATTGATAAGCTCACTAAGTATGGACACTTTGTTGCTCTTGCTCACCCTTATACTGCCCAATCTCTTGCAATTGTGTTCATGGATTCCATCTTTAACTTCATGGGTTCCCAGCCTCTATCACAAGTGACAGAGATCCTATATTTATTAGTTCTTTTTGGAAAGAATTCTTATCCATCATTCAGCTATTCAAACAACTCCTTTTGAGCTCCTTTATGGTTATCCTCCTCCTATACACCTCCCTTATCTTCCTGTTGATTCCTCCATTGATGTTGTTGAGGAATTTTATTGGTCTGGGACTTCAAACTTCAGTTAGCTAAATTTCATTTGGGCAGAGCTCAGCAGAGAATGCAAGCACATGCTAATAGTTATAAGTCTGATTGTGTCTTTAAGGTTAGAGATTGGGTGTTTGTTAAACTTCAACCTTATCGACAATCCACACTCTCTCTTTCCCCTTATCACAAGTTAACTTCCAAATATTTCGGTTCGTATCCTATTGTTGAAAAGGTAGGAGTTGTTGCCTATAAACTTCTCTTCCCTCCTGAGGTTCAACTTCATCCTACATTTCATATCTTTCAACTCAAATTCTGTTACTCCTTACCTTTCACTATTGTGCACCCTCCTATTTTGGACTTGGCTAGTCCTTTATGTCCCAATCCTGAAGCAATCTTGGCAAGAAGACGCATCAAAAAGGGAAATAAGGCAGTGGCTCAATGCTTGATCAAATGGACAGATTTGGATGCAGCTCAAGCTATTTGGGAGCTAGCTTCAGACTTGCACACTAGGTTTTCACAGTTCACCCTTGAGGACAAGGGTGTTGTTCAGTGAGGGGGTATTGATATACATAATTTAGCTACTCAGGGACTTACTGTCATCTCAGATGCCAGCTAGATGCCATGTGGACGAGTAGTTAGCTTGGCATGTCATTGTTGTACTGAAAAATCAAAAAGAAGGAATGACGGGAAATTTAGTTAGAGGGAATTTCAGCTCATTTGTTCTTCTTTTGCATTTTATTTGGATTTCTTGTATTAGTCATATAAATAGGAGAAATATAAGAGGAAAAATACATTATTTAATACTAAGGAACTTCTGATTCTCTCAATCTCTATTCTCCTCATCCTCATCCTCCTCCTCCTCCTCCTCCTCCTTCTTCTTCTTCTTCTTCTCTTCATTTTGCTACTGTTTCATTGATCGATATCTACAATTTGGTATCACAGAGCCACCTAAATAAAAGTGTGGCGAGTTGAGAATTCTTTACCAAAAAATTATATTCATGCATATGGATAAAATAAATAATTTTTTGCCCACATATATTGAATCTTGAATACTTTTCGTGAACTTCTTGGCTTTGTCACGGTGCTTAAACATCCGATCCCCTCTCTCACCTTGTCTTCTCTAAAATTATTGAAGATAAAGAAAATTGTCCCTTTTAATTAAGATGTATTGAGTTACAAATTTAAAAAGAAATGTTATCATACTATATTTGCTTTGTTGAATAAAAACATTAACATTGGCAGAAAAAAAAAATGTTACGAGCACTCCGCTTCTACTTGATGAAGTAATTATTAATAAAACCTCAGTCCTCAGCCAAATCAAAAAGTGCATTTTACATATTGTTCCTATTAAGCGCCGCCAGAATAAGTCAACAAGAAGAATGAAGAAGTCAAATATAGAATTTTTTACGTAACTTCACTATTAAATAATGACATGAAAACACAAGGAATCTTGAGAAAGTTTCGTAGTAATTTGCTAGAAATGGCAAGGCACGATGGATATGAGCAAGTCGCATGCTTTTAAAAAAAATAAAATCACATAGTAACATAATGTTGTGTTCTGATATTTATCTCTAAAAACAAACCCATTACAAACTTTAGAATAAAATCTAAATGAATTTAGCGATATTTCTAAGATAACATCTTTTTATTGGTGTCATCTATTTTATTTCCTTAGCTACAAGAAATAGGAATTCAATAACTATGATATAGGAATAGTAATAAAGAAAATACAACTGCTAAATAATCTTGGAAGTTTGATAATTGGATAAAACAATCGATAGAAGATCATAACTAATTGGAGGTTTCTGGGGATCAAATCACATTTTGATTGCTTAATCTTTATACTTTATTTGCAAACTTATTTCAAAATTAAGTATACTTGTTGCAATTGATTAAAGAAAGTCGGTAATTCACGCTAATCGTAAACAAATAACTTAAGCAAGTATTTATGGAATAAAAACCATGTTATCTTGGCTATTTTAGCAAATAACTTCAACGTGAAACAACAAATTAAGAAAATAGATAAATAAAATTGCCTACCATACATTATAATTATTAAAGAACCAATAAAATATCCTAACTTACATTATTAAAGAAAATGTATAATTCAAAGCCCATCCACCAACTTGTGGTTAGCAACAACTCCATATTATAAATCATCAATCCATGAGCATCACCAAAACGACATCTTGGCCGTTCGATCAACCAGTTCATGGACCCAATGATCAAATTAATTCTCCTTAATTTTATTAAGTCAAATTTTGTGAAGCTTCTCTGCCTTAACCAATGGATTAGCCACGGCAATGGCCACCCTTCCCATTGACTTATAGTCAAAGGTACAACCATGTTGTTCAGGGTACCTATGTGAACCACAAAATGTGACCCCACACCTACACTTGAAACCCGTTAAACCAATCCGCTTCCGACACGTGACACAACGATTCGATTGCACTTGAGGGGTCTCTATTGGTGTATTCAATTGCACCTCATCAGGAGCTTCAGCTGCAGTATTCAACTGCAGCTTAGGGACCTCGGCTGCAATATTCAATTGCACCTTAGGGGACCCACATGAAGTATCCAACTGTACCTGAGAGACCCCGGTCTCAACCACATGACGTGGTTGTGAGACTTCAAGAATTGGCAATGACTCCACGCGTGGCAGGTACGAAAATATTGATTCAGATTGTTGTTGTTGTTGTTGTTGTTGTGGTTGGGGACGAGTCTTTTCCATTGCAAGTTGGGCTGCTCGCGATTGTTGTTCTTTCATGCAATGATCCTTATAGCATTTGGAACAGAGGTTTAGAGTTGTTGGGCTGCCAAAGAATCCACAATTGTTGGCACAAAGCCTATGCCCTCCTGCTTCTTGCATTCTCTGTTCTTCCGCCATCCTGTTTTTTCGACAAACTGCAATTCTCAAAAAAAAAAATAAACGAACGACAATGAATTATGAGCGATCGACTTATTCAAATCAATCGCTCAATTCCAAAACAAGATCTCTACGTAACAAAACAACAATATATTTGACGAAATGTGCTTATAAATAAATCAAGAAAATGAACACGACCAAATCAAAGATTTAAACCAAACGTTAAAGACGTCAAAATTGAAAATGTGCGTACGTGAACAAGCGAAGAGATCGGAACAGAAAGGAGATTGATGGTAGAAAGTAATGGAGGTTTAAATATTGGAAATTTAGAGGGCTTTTAGGTGTGGAGTGGTTGGTGGGGTTGGAAATTAAAAGATGAAAACAAAAGAAAGGTACGTGAAATATAAAAGGAAACTTTGGGTTACTTGGTATTGTCGTTTTAGAAAGATTCCTGTAGATGCCAAAATTGTAGTGAGAGAGACCATAAATGTTTAGTCGCATCGAATAATAATTATAAAGGGGAGTCTTGAAGTAATAGTACAATTGTCTTCGCGTGACTTGTAGGTCACCAATTTGATTCGTGGAATCAATCACTGATATTTCCATTAGGGTAGGCTGTCTACATTACACTCCATTAGGGTGCAGCCCTTAACCGGACCCTAGGTGAACGCAGAATACTTCGTTCACTGGCAGAGGTGGAGCCAGGATTTGAAAGTTATAGGTTCCGGGTTCTAATCTTTTTAAATTACTGGGTTCTAAATTAATAATTTGTACATATTCAATGAATTTCATAAAATAAATATAGAGTTTGGACCAAAACTACTGGATTCGGCCGAATCCGTAGCTGATGGGCTAGCTTCGACTCTGTTCACTGGGCTACATGTATATAAAAACCACATATATGCCATATTTATTGATTTAGCGTAAATGCACCGTGTGCAAATAAGTTTTATTGTTGTAAATGGTTGTAAAAAGAATTGCGTTGCTTTATGACAAACATTTGTGATGGGAATCATAAAAGTCGTTGATCAACGTTAAGGAGACCACCTTTTTTTATTTTTGCTTTTGCATTGCTTTAAGTCTACGTTTGTGTTTTCTTGATATGATTTGCTTAATTGTTTACGGTTCGTAACTATTAGTATATTACTTTGTCTTCTCATTTTCTCGTTCTGAAATGGCTGCAACAAATATTATGAAATAAAGTTTTTATTGGGTGATTAAGACCCTCAGAAATTGAAGTTTGATCATTCAATTTTTCCTATTAAAGTTAGGGAGTTGAGAACATTGAATATTATTCATTGATCATTACCATGCATGCAAGTTGCAATGAACCAAGAAAATCTATTGAATAGAATTATTAATTATGAAAAATCAAAAAGAAAAAAAAAAGTCCAAGCAAGGACACTATATTCAAATAAGTAAAGTATTCCATTCACGTTTATATATTCTTAATTAATGCTCTTGCATATGATTCTTTGACTCAAACAAACTAAAATTTGATATTTAATTAAAACTCTTTCTCGTTTCGTGAATGGATTATTTGAGAGTGAGGAGCTGGTGGCTGACGTTTAAGACTTGGAATTAATAAGATTCATACTTTATCTTTAATGAAACTCAAAGCAATCTCTCTCATATAATTATCTTATATAAAAAAGGATTTAAGTTATATAAATTGACGGTATAATAAATTTTTATAAATTACATGTAATTTAACATGTTATAGCAAGTTTTTTTATTCTTCATTTAAGCTAAGGTACCTAATCAATGTTATTAAATAGAATTACATACAATTTTCTTTTAAATAACTTGATTGTGTAATATTTTTATATCACTAGTACATAAAATTAACTTAAACTCAAAAAGATTCCTATACTTGCTGTTAGCTATAGAACTCTCTGATTTTACTCCATGTTAAACCAAATACAGCAAAGACAAATCTTGAAAGCTTTCCTTTTCCATTCAATCCAATTAGTTTTGTAGCAATCGCTACATTTGACGCACAAATTAAAAAGAATTGGAAAGGCAAAAACACATAGAATTAAGAAAAAGAAGGAAAGCCTCCATTATGTTGCTGCTAGCAAATACCATTATTGTTGGTTTTGAATTTTCAAATTATTCCCCCTAGAGGTCCAGACCCATTTTTATCCTTCGAGAAAATGATTCAATCTCTTCATAGAAAATGGGAGGTCTATAGTCAATTAACGAATAGAGTTCTATTTTTTTTATTTTTTTGCTTTTGTTGTTTTGTCAGCCATTTCCTATTTATATTATTTCAGAAACCTACAACAACAAAAATAGATTTTGAAGAGAAAATAGAAAGAAAAGAACTTGTTTTGCATCACTCAAAATTGACAATTAGTCTTAGAGCACTTTTCTTTTTTAAGATTAAGACGTCTGAATATGAATACACATCTGAATATCAAGATGTGCATTAAGATTAAGACATCTGAATCTAAATATATATCTGAATATTAAGATGTGTATTAATATCTGAATACTAAATGATTAAGAATGTTTGTTTTTTACATCTGAATGTATACAATCTATCTTTATTTGAAAATTAATGAACTTAAAATTTAAATAAAATACTAATTAATATAATATTCTATCAATAATATATATATTTTTTAAAGCATGGTCGTTAGTGGTGGTGATGCTAACGGTGGTGCTTGTGAATGCCGACTAAATGTCGTGGTGATTTTGGGTGATGATGGTGATTCTGAATAGTAGCTAGTGATAATTGGTAGTGATGTCGATAATGGTTGAAAATGGTGGTGGTAGGTGGTAATAATTAATAATAGTGGTTGGTGATGGTGGTTGTGGTTGTGGTTGCGATTGAAGAAAGTGGTAGTAGTTTATAATGGTGGACAGTACCGACTATGGTTGTTGATGATGATGATGGGGTGGTTAGTTGAGGTAGATGAGTATGTGGTTGTGATTGAGAATGATGGTGGTGGGGGTAGTGGAAATTCTGGGTGGTGGTTGTCGATAATGGTGGCGGCTATGATTAAGGAGGTGGTGGTGGTGGTGGTGGTGGTTGAGTATGGTGATGGTGGGTGGCATGATAATAGTTGATAATTGGCAATTAATAATGAATGTGGATGATAGCATATTAATGAAATTAAGTCTATGTTATAGATATTAATCATACAGACCTATTAAGACCCATTAAGTGGTTGTGAAGTAAAAATATTTAATGATTAAGATCTGAATAATTAAGATTCGGACTTTAAAAACAAACGCACTTATTATCTGAAATTTGAATGATTAAGATTCAGACCTCCATTAAGTGCAAACACATGGACCTTGGTGACATCACTATCCTAGCTAGCAAACTATCAACAGAGTCCAACTGAAACGAAGTTAAAAGAAATAGGACTAAGAAAGGTAAAAATCTTCCTTTTCGCTAATCACTTATCTAATGTCGATACAGGCCGAGATTCATGCGGTGAGATCCGATTGGGCACGGATATCACGGACCTTTGTTAATCATGCGCGGACGTTTGGTAATGCTTTCCGATGTCTTGAAACTCGAACCAGAGGGGGGTTGGTCTCGATGGCTCCGAGGGAAGGTGTTTTGTTCGGGCCTTGATATGAGAGGCTCCCAGATTTGATTTCGATTCCCTGTAGTTACGTCCTTGTTTCATTTGCCCCACCGGAAAATCGAGGTGCTCATTAGCCTCGGTTTTACCCGTATATAGATAGTCCTCTCGTTTCTCACAGAGTCGGTTTGCCGAAACAATAAGAAATGATATATGCTCTCTGGTTCCTTCATCCGTACGTTACAACCAAAACGACAAAGAATTCGAAACGTCCCATCAGTCGCGTCGTTCTAACTTCAGTCATGTGTCAACCATCGGCTGGATGCCTCCGAATGTGAAGTATCGTGTACTTCCCATATAAAATCTTCTATCCCCTGTTCTTTTTCCACTTTCCAATCAAGCTTCTACCTTCAAATTCTCTAGCTATCACCAACCTCCATCAAACTTTCATATCTTCATCCTTGATCTTCAAATTCTCATAGTTGTTCTTAGGTTCTTACCAAGATTTTCTTCAAATATTCATACTCTGTCCTTCACCCTTCAAACTCGTTCTTTCAAACCTTCATATTCTTTCTTTAAATTTTCAAACTTTTTCCGATAACAATGGCTAAAACGTCTAAATCAGTTACTCAACAGGTTGCCCCTTCATCTTCCCATCCGGGCGCCGATACTGAGGTGGTCACTCCTAAAATAGTTGTCCTCGAGATGGTTGTTCCCGAAGTGGCTGCCACCGAACCGGCCCCCGATCCCCCTTGAAAATGTTTATTCCCAGGGGCTGTTCAATTGTGGACGACTTCAAGGTCGAAAAACCCTCATCCAAACAGGACCGGAGTGAAGGAGCATCGAGGTATATATGTTCCATTACCGAAGACGTCCTTCCTGTGGTCCGAGAGGACTGTAAATAAGAAGGCAAGGACGTAGTAGTCCCCGGGCCTGAGGATGTTATTACTACCCACATTGAGGGGTATTTAAGTGTTTACACTTATCCCTTCACATTGGGTCTGGTAGACCCAATCGTTTTAGATTTTTGCAAGAGATACGAGGTGTGCCTGGGGCAAATCCACCCATCTCTTTGGAGGATCATAATCCTCCTCCGTTATTTTGTGAATAACAATAAGCCTTATCGATTTAGCCTCGACCACCTGCTCCATCTATACAGTCCCCGAATCTTCCGAGGGGGACTAATTAACTTACTCACTAAGCTAGCAAGGCCCCTTTTCGAGTATTGACGAAGATTAAGACCGAGGCTGGAAGGGACGCTTCGTTCTGGTGAAGACTGAAAACTTGATCCCTCCCGAGTTCATGCCATTCCCCGAGAAGAGGAATACATCTCCTAAGTGCAGCCTTGCTTTAAGCGTCTACTTTTCTTCATTTCCTTTCTCACAATTCGCATTTGTGGTGGTGCAGTTGTTGCTTGGGTTTCAAATGATGTCCCCCGGCTCAAGAAGTGGTTGAAGGCATATGTAAGTAGATGTCATACTTTGAGCAATCATAGGGCAAGCTTTTGAAGGGCCGATGGGAGGCTCATTCTCATGGTAAGGTTCTCCTTCATATAGTTATTACCGTATTCTTAACTCACATCATACTGACCTTACTTCTTTCTTTTGTTCATTTGTCTATGACCATCAAACTTAGGCCTTTGGAAGGGAACAGGGACTGGGACATGTCCTTGTTCGTTGATCCCTCTGTTACGGGGTAGCCCGGGGCTGCCGCAGGGGAAAAGAAGAAGAAGAAAAGAAAGGCTTTAGGCTCCCCGAGCTCTGAGGTGAAGCCAAAGAAAAGAATGGCTCGTAAGCCCAAGA